TGAGACCTTGTGAGGTCTTTGCCTCCTATCACGCCGGGCACAATAAGAATTGCGTCGGGCGCGATGATCCCTGGTGCTCTCTGGTTGTGCCACGCCGGGCGCGACCATGAGTGCGCCAGGCGCGGATGAGATGATGATTTATATGCTGAAAATTGTTGACAAATGTAGATATATGCTGAACTAAGCCGAACTTGATGAATATGATGTGCTATTAGATGTTATTGCTAATCAAGGATGTTAGGTTGTGCTGTGAGCTGTGTTTAGGTGTTAAGTTGAGATGTGCTGTATGCTGATTTAAGTCGTATGTGATGTATATTGCTGTGCTGTGCTGAGATGTATGCTGTTATTAGCCGCTATGTCGGTGCTGTTATTAGCCGCTATGTTGGTGCTGTTATTAGCCACTATTGTGGTGCTGCTGTAGCCGCTATGTCGGTGATGTTATTAGCCGCTATGTTGGTGCTGTTATTAGCCACTATTGTGGTGCTGCTGTAGCCGCTATGTCGGTGCTGTTATTAGCCACTATTGTGAAACTGTTATAGCCGCTATGTCAGTACTGTTGTTGCTGAATGTTGTGATATTTAATCTAATGTTGTTAAGCTGGCTGATGTGCTGATAGCTGTAGTTGTTTATCCTTCATATTTCATACATGTATGATGATTATTTTCACTAGCTTACCCTTCGCTGTTTCCATATGTTTTAGCTGCGATGATCATACTTTTGTGTGGGAGCAAAGCAGGGTTAGGTTGATGTTTTGCTGAGGAAGGTCTGCAGCTGGCAGATGAAGTTTATTTCTTTTGATGTATTTAGCTACTTATTTAGCAAATGATGGATGTATTTTGTTTTGTACACTCTAACTCTAGTCGGATTGGGATCTTGTATATATATATATATTCTAGATCCTATATTTATATCTTGTTCTTTTCTGTCTGGTGTTTCCGGTGTGCTGTGCTGTGTGTAGTGATCAGCCGGGTCGTTACTGATCATCTCTTTCATATTCAATACTTCAAATTCAATTTTCAATATAAAAATCACTATTAACTTTGTAGCCACGAATTACCATCGATATTGCTCGATTTGACACTTTTGATGATTTTATGAATTATCAACGTCCCCATGATGATAATCGACATAAACCATGAACTCTAAACTCCAAACACCTCTTTCCTTCCAAACATAAATTATTTTAAATATATACTAAATTTGTCCTCCATAGCTGATGCCTATTTTAAAATTATTTACATTCTCACCATGTCATGTTAAATATTTTATTTTATTTGTTCAATTTGGCTCTAAATTATAATCTTAAATATTCCAATTTTTCTACTAGATAATTAAAATAGCTATTAGTGTGATTCACATTGAAATGTGCAAAATCAATGTATAGTAATGACTAATAGTATGAAGCTAATAAAATTTCGAGCTTGTTACGCTAAACAAGTTTAGTATATTGTTCAATGATGTATAAGTGAATATGATGTATAAGTGAATAGTAATTATTTTTATTAAAATTATTTAAAATTATTAAAATACCCTTTTTTAATATGATGTCTCCTTCACCATACGTGTGGCCGCATGACCATCTTTTCACTCAATTCAACTAGAAATTGAAAAAGGTTTTCAAACACACTTGGGAAAGCATTTTTATCAATTCAACTAGCAGTGAAGTTACAACTGATGCTTCCAAGGTAGATTTTATTTAACTCAAAATTGAGTTTCAAGCATCAAAACCAAATAACATATTCTCCTTTTTGTATTATATTTTTAAAATATGGATGTCTAATAAAATATACATGTTTTTTTTTGAATATAACACTAAAAATAAATTAGTGAATTTAAAACAAAAAAAAAAAACTTGAAAGAATCCGAGCCGTGAATAGTTCTATTTATATATTTTTATTAGAAATGTTTATTTCATTTTGTATACATTCTTTTTTCATTTCCTACATAATTAAATAAAAAAAATTGCTTCTTTTCCAATCAAATATTTTAAAACTGATATATTTTTTTATTTACATTTTCTTCTAAATTAAAGATACTGAATAATAATTGTGTAACTTACTTTCAGGAATTTGAACTAAAAAAAGGAATTAGAATTTAATTAGTTGTGTTGGTCATTAATTAAATCACCGACTTTGCAGGCAGTGGCAGAGTGAAGAAAACGTGTAGGAAGAGAGTGAAGTAGTGAAAGAAAAGTGTTATTTGTAGCAGGCTCTAGCAGTAGATATAGATGCTCCTTCATCCTTATCCGAAGCTACCTTTTGCTGTAACAAAGTAAGGATAAGTCTCTCACAATTTAAAATTACTGAAATAAATAATTTATTTTATTTTATTTAGTTCGTGGCTATAAATTCGTTATTATTAAGATGATTTTACACATGGATGGAAGCTGTTATGAGGAGCTCATGTTCTGAAACTTCCAACTGTTCTCAACATGACCCAAATTCTCCTTCCAGCACTGATTCAGGTACTTTCATGATTGTTCCACCTTAGTCACAGGTTCAGGTGTTAACAGGTGGAGCTATTTTCAACTTTGTATTTGATGAGTTTGATTAAGATTAGGGTATACTTGTATTGTATGTATCAATTACTAGTTTGTTCAGTTAATATCGGTTATTAGTTAGAATATGTATGTTTAAGACCCGTCTAAGGAGATGAGTTTGTTGTCTTTCTGTGTACACTTGGGATCAATCAATGGATATTTTACCCTTCAAACTCCCTTCTAATTTCTACTTTCTACTTTCTGTGCAGTTTCCAACTTATAACTCAATTAGGAGTTTCATGTCTCAACAATTGGACGATGTATTGGAATGTGATATTATTTGGTAAGTATTTATTTACTTTGAAACAAATTTAATACATATAAAAAGTTTTTTTTTAAAATTTGTTTTTAACTCTTCATTTTTTCCCTTATAGTTATTTTGATTATTATGAAGTTTGGTATAAGATTTTTTTTGAATTTTTTTTAAATATTCATGATATATTGATATATCAATTTTAAAAATGAATTATTTATCAAATTACCTTCTTATTTTTTGAATTAGTTTTTACTTGTAGACCAATAAAAGTTATTTTATCACTTAAAATTAATTTTAAAGTATTAATTCCAAATATGTCTGTTCACTTGAAATTTTTTAATTTTTGCTTAGTCATGGAAGTAAATTGGTTGTTTCAGCTCACATATATGAGCTGCACAAGTATATTGAAGTCTTTTATTCATAAAGTCTCTACGTAAAAATAAAAGCTTTTTTTTTGAAAAAAAAAATTAATATAGAATTCTTTCAAAATCTAAATTCAAGTCTTAGAAGACTAAATCGACTTTAAGTCATTATGTATCATCTAAGAAGATTACAGCGATAAAAAAAAATAATAAAAAATAAATAAATAAATAAATAAAAGTTTCTTTTGAATTTTCTTTGAAAGATAATTTTAAAGAAAAAATTAAGAAAAAAATATTAAAGACTTTTTTTTTTTTTAGTTTTGAAGATGAACATGAAATAGAGAAAGTAAATAAAATAAATAGTAGTTGTAACGCAGATTTTTATAGTTAATATAAAATAAATTACTCACCAGTTATATTTATGTAATTATTACCGTAATATTCTGAAATTTTGATACAATATTATGAGTTTTCTTTGTAACGCCTAATCATATTAATATTAATTTCAATAATATACGTATATATATATATAATATTTATAGATAGAAAATACATGTATAGTAATAATATTATAAATAATAACATACTAAAAATATTTACCATTACGTGCATAGTTACTTACTTTTACATATGTATTATATATTATTAAAAATATTTACAATACGTGCCTATTTATATATTATAGTTTCTTTTTCTACTTCTATTATAATATTTACATGGATGGTTGAAACAAATTTATAATTATATTCACATGGTTAGTGGGCGGTAAAAAGAAAGTGGCTATTATTGGGTCGTCGATCACTGTAGGGACTTTTTGGTTTGGAGAGAAGGTAAAAGTCGACACTACCACTCCATTAAATATAACTGCGTTTGCTTCCGCATCTACACTCCATGTAGTTCCAGAAAATACTGCAGATATCACTGAGAGAAAAAGTCCTGGAATGTTGGGCGCAACCATCTATATATATATATTTGTTTTTTTTTTATATAAATTAATACAAATTTTAAACAAAAAATATAAGAAGCGAAAACAATTTTCAAAGAAATATTTGCGTAGAAATAATTAATATTAGAAAAAATATATAAAAATTTGAATTACACTTGCAGTGACTAGTAAGGATAAATGAGCATTACAATATCAACCAACAAAAGAATTTTTAATCTTAATTTAAACTCTCAAGGTCAAACTTCCAACTACAAATAATTTAAATTTTATCTTCTATAACCATAGAATAATATTTATCTTTAAAACGAATCAAAGATATTTTAACAAAATTATATTATAGTTAATCATAAAAACAATCACGCTAAATAAATTGGAGTATTTATTATTATTTAAGCTCTAAATAAATAACATACACTTTAATGAAATATATTAAGAGCATCAATCAAGTAAATGATAATGATAATTATTATAAAATAATTAAACAATATAAGATATGAACATATTAATAACTATCTTTCTTTCTTTTTATTTTTCTCTTTCTTTCTCACTTTTCTCTTTTGCTCTCCGATCACTACCTCTTTCTCTTTTTTTTTCTTACCCCGATTTTGTTCACTCTTTAATATTCTTAAACTCAGTAGTATAATATTATAAAATTTTCTTGTTATTATTTTATTAGAATAATGATTTTAAATAAACTCTAACCTAATATTCTGAATTTTATTGTTAATATTTTATTTTTAGAATAATGATTTTAAATTTTTATTTTTATCACATTTAAAATAGATAAAGATGGATATTTTATTTTGATACTTTATAATAGAAATACTTATTATCCAATTTTATTTTTTTAAATAATATGTGTATTATTATATATAATTGTTAAAATTTTAAATGTTTATAAATGATTATATTAATTTTTTATATATAGATAAATATATTATAAAATAAAAATAAAAATCTGCTAGATAAGAATCTACAGCAACTATGTACGAAACTTATACATATTTATCACCTTATTGATGACTTCTTATCTCTAAGTAACGAGATTCCAAAAATTTATCAACTATATATATATATATAATGTTAAAAAAATAATAAATAATAAATAAAAATCTGCCTATAAATAGGCCAAGGAGGGATCAAGACAGTAACGGTAGTGAGCAGAAAAAAATTAGTGGAAAGAGAGCACGAGAGTGAGATTGAAAAAAGAGAAAGAAAGGGTTAGAGAAGCGTAGTAAAATTTTTTTCGTGGTTAACTTGTGATAATTCTACCTTTTAAGATAAGGGAGAGGAGAACTTTATCTCTTTAAAATTTTATATACTACTATATTTATTTATTTATGTTATTTTTGATGTATATTTATTTAGTGAGGTGTCCCTAACTTCATTTATTTGCTTAACATATGACTATTTTTTTTATAATAATCATTAAGATGTTCATAGTTTATGTTGTTTAATTATTTTATGGTACTTTTAATATATTCTTTTTACGTAAATATATTTATTATAAATGATAAATATTGTTCTATGACCATAAAAGATAAAGTTTGAATTATTTGTAGCTAGAGGTTTGACCTTGAAAATTTAAATGAGTAAGGACTTATGGTGAAATACCCTGTTTGATATTTGGTTGATATTATGATAATGCTCATTTATCCTGACTAGTCACTATTAAAATAATTCAAATTTTATTATACTAATAAAAAATTAGTTTTTATGTTTACTATAGATAATCTTGTTCTTTATTTAATTAATTATATTTATTTAATAAGTGTTCTCACTCCTTATTTGTTTTTGTGAAAAATTTAATATCATAATATATATGGATCTACAGGCTATACCAGGTCCTTTTACAGTAGTTATCACTGTCGTTTTTTTCGGGAGTAATTGGGGTGTAGACACTATCTCCAACTCAGTCACTTTTCAAGGCATAGGGCTGTCTTCGTTCGTCTTCTTTCCCGATCGAGAAAATCCCACTATCATAGATGGACCTATTATAGTGACTTTCTTTTTACCACCAGCAAATCATACAAATCCTATTGTGAACTTATTTTCACCACCAATGTAAAAACTATCGTAGTAGTAGTGGAAAAAAAAATATAATATGTAAGGCATGTACTCTCAATAATAGTAGAATAATATGTATGTAAATATTGAAAATAATAATGTAAGATATGAGTAGTTTATAATTATGTATATATTTTTGTAAATATTTTAAGATCTTTATAAGTTAATTATGTGTATGTGAGTTTGAAAATTTCCTTTTATTACTTATTT